TGCTCTGGGGTTGCTTTGGTGCTGGTAAGGTGGGAGATTTTTACCGGGTAAAAGGGATTCTGAATAAAGAAAGCTATCACTCCATTTTGCAATGCCATGCCATACCCAGTGGACAGCGCTTGATTGGAGCCACTTTCATCCTACAACAGGACAATGACCCTAAACACACCTCCAAATTGTGCAAGAACTATTTAGAGCAGAAGCAGGCAGCTGGTATTCTATCGGTAATGGAGTGGTGAGTGCAGTCACAAGATCTGAACCCCATTGAGCTGTTGTGGGAGCAGCTTGACCTTTTGGTACACAAGAAGGGCCCGTCCAACCAATCCAACTTGTGGAAGCTGCTTCTGTAGTGTGACTTTTCAGGAAGACACAAAATTGTTTGGGTGACCCCAAACTTTTGATCGGTAGTGTACGCCAAGCAAAAGTTAAAAAAATTGATTGATTCTGATATAGAGGAATAAACAACTATCAAAACAAAAAGCACATGATCACATTAACCACTTATTTGCAGCTTGACTCGGCATTTACTCTCATCTAGTTATATACAGGTAAAATTCACCTTAAAGTGTTTAGAAATATGTTTAACAAATGTTGTTTTGATGTTAAATTTGTGGATATTCTGATTTTACCTACTTACCTGATAACAGTTGGTTTCATAAAAATTATAAAGAACATGAAATTGTAACCATGTCACACACCTTTTTTCAGGTAACCATGAGGAGAAAGTCTACACTGTATGTTGTCAACTTTTTGCTGCCTGTCCTCTTCTTCTGGTGTCTGGATGTTGCCTCGATCCTGATGTCAAACGGTGGTGGGGAGAAGATTAGCTTCAAAGTAACCGTACTACTTGCCGTTACAGTGATGCAGCTTATTCTCATTGAAATTTTACCTTTTACCACAAGCAAGATCCCACTTATAGGTAAAAAAAAAAACGAAAAAAAAACGACTATTGCCTCTAGGTAACACACAGTGTACATACTAAAGTATTCCTAGCTCTCAAATTGTGTTTGCTTGTTAGTCTGTTTGTCTGTTTCCTTGTTTACTTACAACATTGAAAAGTGCAACTATTCCCTCACATGAATGTATATTGGATGATCCAGATTTTTGTCTTCATCCAGACCAAAATTTAATATCCTGTAGTACTTATTGACATTTCCACATGCAATTTTTGGCAAAGAAATGTTCCTATTTGATAGAAAGTTATTCATTTATATTCAAAACATGGCCCTAACTCCAAAGAGCAAATAGTCTATTAAAATATTCCCGGATCCAGATGTTGATCCGGATCATCTCCAAAACGGTATAATTTTTTTGCCAGTCCAAATATGCACCATCTCTGAAAATTACAGCAAAGTCCACCCATAACTTTTTTTTTTGTTATTTCAAAAACTGACAGACAAGCTAATGCTGCTGAAAACATAACCTTTTCGGTGGAGGTAGCATAGTAATGTCTAATTGTGTATGTTGTGTATATATCAAGAACCACTTAGAAACGTTTCCCCAATCATCTTTGTCAAGTTAAAATATAACTTATTCAAAACCTATTTTGTTAGATTATCTGTATAGCCTGGGCGTATGGAGGAATACTTTAATGTTACTATTTTTTTTAGAAAAATATTAAATTTTTTATCTGAACTTATATAGTATTTGCAGCCTCTAAGGGCTGACAGCTGGCTATTTCAGCTGAGTTTTAAGTTTTGTTCAAACAGTGCATGCTTTCTTCCTTCCCTTTAGATACTTCAGTCATAACCCTACATCAGGCTGTATAAGCAACTCAATCTGACAGACGGTTCTGTTCACTTCATCAGCACTGGATTTGGGAATCAGTGAGTCAGAGCCTTGAGCCAGCAATTCACCCTGTTAAGGCTCTGGCCAAATTGGCCTTAAAAAATTAAGCTAGCTCCACTTTCCCTAGTCCAAACCACACCCCACTTAAACCCCATTTCTGATAGAGTAATCCTTCAAATCCAGTTAGGAAAAGGTAAATGTGTGGGGGGTTTTGATGTTTTTTTTTTGTTTTGTTTTTTTTCACTTGAATCAGTTCAAAAATTCAATATAGTTTTTCAACTGAAGAACTATGGGATGATACTCTTTGGGTGCATTGGAACATTGGCTCTGCACTATGCGCCGAGTCCTGTTTCAACCAGTTTATTGAACGCAGTACACAGTACTCTAAACTACAGTTTATTTGAGCAGAACCTTGTGACTATGCACAGGAACACTGGTATATATAATGTTCTTATTAGTATGTCATCATCATAGTCAACCAGATCATGGCAACTATTATTCGTATGTCTTTTAGTAACTAAAAGCATAACAAAAACACAGTAGTTATACAGTACATATATTTACAATTCCCAATTAGCAACCATATGAAGTTTAGATATCATCAAAGTTTGCCTGTGTATATTGTCATTCATCCAGGTCATGATAACCACACAACAGGCTTAAATTGTAAGGAACCAAACTCTTGCAAATTTTTTTTCTGAATCCAGGAGTCTTTGTCAACTTTGTCGGCTCTCACTAGAACAAACTGTAATTGTCAAGTTTGGGTTGGCGTTTGAGGACCCAAATGCAGGGGCAGGGATGCAGATGTGAGTTCTTGTAGTTTTAATGAGAGGAAACAGTTTAACAAAGCCAAAATTCAACTTAATATTTAACACAAACCAGAACCATGGAGACATCAGGGAAAAATAATAAAGAGGAGCCAGGGAGAGATGAGGTAGGAAGAAAGCAGCAACGACAGGACCAGCGACAACAAGGAACCAACAAAAAATGAGAGCAGAGGGAGAGGATATATAGCTGACAGAGACAAAGGGAGGGCTAACGAGCTGACAAGGAGCAGGTGTGAGAGGAGACAACGAGGGAGCCAAGGGGAAAGGAACACTCTGACACACTAGAGGGCAACAGAGGACAACAGAAAAACATTGGAACTAACAAATCTAGAAATTACAACAAAAAAAGAATTAAACCAATAAAACTAGGAAACATAGAGCAAAGTAAAGCACAATAGAAACAAGACCATGACAGTAATTGGACTACAGATGTATTCAAGCAGCAGGGAGATCCATCTTCTTAAGCACATTGCAAGTCGGATGTAAAATTACAAAGATAACTTTTTTCAAAGATGCTGTCATTTTTCTGATAATTCCAAAGAAGTTGCATATTCACATTCATCATGATTCAAAAGGTCTATCACATAGCCCCTGTAAAACAAAAGCCTCCAACAACCAAGGAGAAGGATAGAAGACTATTGAATTTACACATGACTTGGAATGTGCTTTGGAGAATTGACCCTAGATTGAGATAGATTGAGGCATTTCCCATCCTGGCACTCTAAAGGCCAATCTTTACTCAGAAACCAGGTTATCTGTGTATCGCAGTGAACGCAAATGTGCCCTCGCCTCTTCAGCAGACACTCTGGTGCACCTCTCCAAAATTGTACGCTATGCATATATCGTGTTTGGTAGCTTGCTGGCTTGTTTTGTTTGTATGACCGCCATTGTGAAAAAAATGACGCATGAAGATGGACCAGCTAAAAGAGCGAGGTGCGTGAGAACGCTGGAACCCCTTTCCCACTTGGATCTCCGCTCTTTTTCGCCCTCAAGTCCCTCCGTTGTCGCACAAACTTGCCCCTTGCATTTTTCCACTTCCTCACCGCCTCGGCGATTTCTAGGCAGCTAGTTCGTGATTGTCCCTTTTGCGTTTGGACGTGGAATAACATAGCGCTGACCACGCTTCAGTATTGAGCATAAATCAAAAATATTT